AAAGGGTCAAAAGGGTAAAAGTGTAACTTACCCTTGAAGATCTAGACTTTGGTTGCTTCTTGGATGGATTTGCTGCTCCTTTGGCCTTCAAGAACCCTTCCTAGCTGCTGGAAATGAGATAGTGGTGGTAGGGGTTGGTGGTGTAGAAGAAATGAAGGTTAAGGAGTTAGGGTTTTTTGAAGTTTTGAAGAAGATGAAGATGGAGTTGGCTATGGAGCTTTTAAGATCAAATTTTCTAACCCCTTAAACCAACAATGGCAGCTGGTTATATGGACAAGAAGATGGATAAGGTCAAGAAAGGGGGTGTAAAAGGGGGGTCAAATGGAGAGGAAAACTCCCTCCCAAAATATCCCCCGGATACAGAAAATATCTGGGGAATATTGCCTCACAGCTGGAAGGGGCACAGTGAGGGGAGCACGGCCGGCCGCTTACTTTTGCTGGAGGTGGCCGGCCGGCCACACCCCCTAGCCGGCCGGCTAGGGGTCAAAAGGGTCAACCAGATTTTCTGGCCGGCCAGGTATTGGGGAGGTAGCCCTATGTGTGTACAACACAACCATGTAATTGAAATTCCAAGAAAGTGGGCCCAAGGGGTTCAACAATGGCTCGGAAAGAGGGGGTCAAAAGGGTCAAGTTGACTTACTGGCCGGCCATGAACTTTTAGGGGCCTCTCAGGTGTGTACATCACAGATATGTGGTTCAAAGTTCAAGAAAAAAGGTCCAAGAGGTTCAACATTAGCCCGGAAGAAAGGGGTCAAAAGGGTCAGGTGACCTTAATGGCCGGCCACCAACTTTTAGGGGCCCCTCAGGTGTGGATTTCGATCCCACGACTCTACCTCCGAGGACTCGACCTTTCATGCCTGAGAGGTATCTTGAAATTTGGCAACGCTAGCTCTAAGGTATTCAACATTAGCCCGGAAGTGCGAAAAACGAGCGCCGGGAGGCTCGGGAAGAGAGATAACTGGTTGTTGCAACAATTGCTGGCCTCCCATCCTTCAGTGAAAACGGGCGCCGGGAGGCTCGGGAGGAGAGATAACTGGTTGCTGCAACAATTGCTGGCCTTCCACCCTTCAGTGACCTTCTTCGGGATAAAACAGAGGTACCTGCCAAAAATGAGCGAAAACCGTTGCAAAACGACTGTTCCGGAGCCAAAACACGTAGTTCGGGGTCCCGGAAATGGGCTGTTAAGCACCGAAAATTGTATTCGACCTCGAAGTGGGTTTCTCAGCCCCCAGTGTCCCTCAAAATGGATGAAATAAGATGTATGCCAAAAATCAGAGCAATAGGAGATGGTTAAGCGGTCCCGAACCGAGGCGCACGGCCTAACGGCTCTGAAAACCGGGAACCGGACTCCGAAATGGGAAAAATGGCCTACGGCCACCAAATGTAGCCTACGAACATTGAGAGATGGTCTGCGGGACCTCTCCCTCCCCTCAGGAAAAGAAACAGAGAAAAACGAGTCTGGTTCGCAAACCGAGACAAGGCACAAGAGAGAGTTCGGAAGTCCGGAGGCAGGGCTCACGGCCGCGACTCTGAAACTTCTGAACGAGCACAACATGCAATATCACCGAGTGCTCAACTGGTGACGTCTGAGTCTCGAGGTCGGTCAAAAATGGGGTGTCTACAGCTGCATAACATTATTCTGCATCATGAAGTTGACGACTGACTGAAGGTCTGCCAACTTGTTCGCCAATTCTTTTACTTCCTCATTCCTCCGTAGGCATCTGTCCCTCCATACCTGGAGGTTATCTTCATTGTAGTACTTTCCTTGGTCTGTTCGTTTTGACGTGCCGCCTTCCTGGATGACGTCTTTCTCTCTGTGACCCTGGTCACGGGCTTCTGTATTGTGGTTGTCTCCTTCAATGTCAAGGTCAATTGGTCTGCCACTCCCAGCGGGAGCGTCATCCCCAATATTTTCCTGCTGTCCGTTACTGGCCATCTATTCTTCCTTCGTTCCCACAGACGGCGCCAAATTGTGTGGGTGAAAATCTGACCACACTGCCTTAATTCAGATGGCCTGTTGTGGCAAACGCCTGTTAAAATGCATTTGTAGCTAATAACAAGCTTAATTTTTATCAGGGGATGAGGATACCTGTTAGAAAACTGGCTCTGTATACAGCACTTGGCGGAGTTAGACCTTCTTCGGTAAGTGTCACCAGCTAATCATATATAGTTGTAGATGCTCATTTTAGTATATCTTATTTGAAACCTTTACTTCAGTACCGATGAAACTGTGTCAATATGTGTGTTTAATTTTCAGTACTGTATCAAGAAGTAAATGCCATGCTTTAGTTGTCAGCTTGACCATATAATATTGATTGGTTTTAGCGCTATCCTCTCATTTTTACCATTTTAGTAATGATCTGTTTACTTGCCTGTGCAGTGTTTGCCCGTAACCATTGATGTGGGGACAAACAATGAGCAGTTGTTGAAAGATGAATTCTACATTGGGCTCAGACAAAGGAGGGCAACTAGGAAGGTCTAATAGTTTTAGCATTTTATTGTGTTTAGTTACAAGCATTAAGATACATTATGTAATTCTCTTTAATACTGAGGCAGTTTTGTCAAATTGTATTCCAGGAATATTATGACCTTCTTCATGAATTCATGACTGTTGTCAAGTAGAACTATGGTGAAAAAGTACTCATATAGGTGGATTTGCATCCTTAATCTGAAAAAATTTCAGGGCCTGATCTAATAGTTTTGGCTAAAACAATCTTATGTAAGAAAATGAGTGAATTTCTTTTATTTCTTGTATGTTGTTTGTTTTCAACTAAATTTTAAAATTTTCAACTCAACTATTAGTGAATTCTGTTTTCTGTCGTACCAGATGCTAGAAAATGAGAAACTCATTTTCCAGATTTCCAGCGAAACAAACAGAGAATTATTTTATTTTATTTGTCGTGAGCTGATTCTCATCATTCTTTATTGAAATTAGAATAGTTAAAGCAAATTATGAACTATATGGACTTGTATTGTATTTCTATTTGTCAAAATTATTTATCCTCTGTTGTTCTGCGCTTTGTAGGGTTTGAAAAAGAAATGTTTACAAGGACGAACGAGAAACAGGCTATGGAAAGAGAAGCATATCTTTGGTCTGTCTCAGATATGTGAAGTGTACACCAAAGAAAACGACACAAACTTTATTTCACTGCTTAGAAAGTGCAAGGTTGGTTCACAGAGTTGACCCTAAATATGTCTAGTGTGCTTGTCTGAGCTTCCTATATCTCTCTTATTGGGTAATTTTCAAATTTTTTGTGGAAATTGTGAATGTATTAGTCACGAGGATTAGTTTTGAGAATCGAATAACTTAGCTATGTTCACCTACTCCTTACCTACTACACACTCACCCTCTTCTATATATAGGAATCATGAATCATTGTAATATAAATCAATATATCAATCAATAATAATACATACAATTTATTCTCTCTCTTTCTCTATACATTATTTCTTACATATGACTAGATTTCCAGTTCAATAATTGCAAAACTTATAAATGTAAACAATGGCATATTACTTGGAATCACGCGATGAATATAAGTAATTCATGTTCAACTCTTTTTAAGTTTCGCTCATAAACAGCTCATGTGCAGGTGGTTTGGTTGAAGGTCGAGTTGTGCAGGTTGCTGGAGGAGAAGAGATCTGGTACACTTAGGTTAGTACTTGCTGTGTGGTGTCTAGTATCTGCACCTTTCAGTGGATTTTTCATGCTTCCAGTTAGGCCCATATTATTAGGTTGAAGATAAGATGGTGATTATGATAAGATAAACAAATACATGAGTAGTTAATTAGGCAAGGTGATCAACCCAGTGTCATTAGAAGCCTGGTATGCATTGCATGGTTAATGTGTCCAGCTGCTTTTGTGTTGTCTATGTATGTGTTGAAGTTCTCAAGGGTTCCTTCATTAGAGCAAATTGTTTATTTAACCTGTTTTGTGCTAATAATCTATGTTATCATTTAACATTAGCAGTCATATATCCATGTGTATCCTTTTGTGAGGGCATTAATTTCTCATGGAAGGTAGTCAATCTTTAAACACAAAATTACTTCTTAGATGATCATCTGTTTTGCGCTGGGGCGTAAATAGTATTAATTTTCTTAATGTGCCTCATGGAAGCTACAGTAAATCCATAAGAGTGGTTCTTGTTCTTTTCCAGAGCTGAGGAGTTGGAAACAGCACTAATGGAGATGGTAAAGCAAGATAATCGACGGCAATTGAGTGCAAGGGTATATTAAACTACACTTTGACTACTGTTCTTCTTGTGTTCTATCTAAACATTGTATCATATTAAAGGAAAAATATATGCACGTATGCTTTGGTTATGAAATTGGGATGTGGCGTCATTCTGTGTGTTAAAGGTTTTATTGTACTTTTATACTATATTTCTCCTTTTATTGCACATTTTTTAGGCTAGCCACAAATCTCATAAATGGCTTCATTTAATCAATTCATATTGCTCTATGCTTTAATAAAAGAGGAAATGTATCTTCTATTTATCTTCTGCTAGTGTTATACCTTTCTTGTACTTGTCTTTCTATGCACATTTTTGTTTCATGCAAGCAAATGCACACTTCATTAACATTATGGTTCTTTATGCTTAAGCACAAGCACTTGAGTGGTCTTTTATGATATTTGTTATATATGCATGTTACTAATGATGGCTTACATTCTATGTTCCATCCCAAAATGATTGACATGACACTAATAGAGAGATGATCTAATGGCTTCTAATATATTTGAATCTGTTTCACTATTAACTACAATGATACAATTTTCTTCTAAAGCTTTATGATTGGCCCTCATATTATCTGATTGGGTGAACATGGCCTTTATAACTGGTTAAAATGTAACAGTATGTTTTAGGTTCCATGATTATCTCTGCCTTCGCCATTGACATTTAACAGAGAAAATTAATTATGAATCAAATTCACTATTGCTGTTTTATTCCAACGTTGCTCGTTAACTGTCTAATTCTGATATTGTGAATGGTAGACCAAATATTGCTTTTGTTGTCTGAATACACTGACATCAAAGAGCTTCCTCCTCATCGACTAGCTGTGATTCGTCGCTTTTTTGAAGACTGTATCCTTTGCACCTTTCTTTCTAGGTATTTGATATTTATGAAAACTAAGATGGAGACGGAATATTTTTCTTGACAATTAATTTAGACAAGAAGAATGAGAACAAAGAGGTTGCAGTTAATGATTTTTTGCCTTCAGCTACAGCTCATGAAGCTATCCAGCACTCCATGTAAGCTTTAAATACATCTTACAAACCTTGAGGAGATAAGTGGATGGGAAAAATGAGAGATTGGAGACCTGAGATGATTTCTATACTTGTTTAACTATTGCTGCTTTGTTTGGCTAAAACAATCTTATGTAAGAAAATGAGTGAATTTCTTTTATTTCTTGTATGTTGTTTGTTTTCAACTAAATTTTAAAATTTTCAACTCAACTATTAGTGAATTCTGTTTTCTGTCGTACCAGATGCTAGAAAATGAGAAACTCATTTTCCAGATTTCCAGCGAAACAAACAGAGAATTATTTTATTTTATTTGTCGTGAGCTGATTCTCATCATTCTTTATTGAAATTAGAATAGTTAAAGCAAATTATGAACTATATGGACTTGTATTGTATTTCTATTTGTCAAAATTATTTATCCTCTGTTGTTCTGCGCTTTGTAGGGTTTGAAAAGGAAATGTTTACAAGGACGAACGAGAAACATGCTATGGAAAGAGAAGCATATCTTTGGTCTGTCTCAGATATGTGAAGTGTACACCAAAGAAAACGGCACAAACTTTATTTTACTGCTTAGAAAGTGCAAGGTTGGTTCACAGAGTTGACCCTAAATATGTCTAGTGTGCTTGTCTGAGCTTCCTATATCTCTCTTATTGGGTAATTTTCAAATTTTTTGTGGAAATTGTGAATGTATTAGTCACGAGGATTAGTTTTGAGAATCGAATAACTTAGCTATGTGGTTGCCATCTCTTTTTTTTATTAGCAATTCCGAAGTGAAAACAATTGTGAGGATTTTCCGTTTTGGATTTTTTGTTTGTTTAATGTTATTTTGTGGCTTTGTATATAAGGTAGTAATTTTTTGATTGAGAATTGTGAATTCAATTTTTCAATATGTTATTTTGTGGGAAAATTAATGCTATATTAAATTGAATGGGAAAGTGAATTAATGCTATATTTGTTATTTGAATGTGAGTTATTATTTCATATTAGTGTTATTTAGTTTTATTATTGGTGTTCTTTTAGTTCAATCACATAAAATTAGCACAATTTCAAAACAAAAAAAAAAGAAAAAAAGAAAGAAAGATAAGACGGTGTTTTTAAAATGCCACTATAACGGTTGGAATTTTTAAAATTTAAAAAACCTATGAAGGCGTTTTAAAAACGTCGCTAAAATCATAGTGACGTCACAGTATTGTTAGGGTAGGACATTTGGCGGCGTTTTTAAAAACGTCGCCTATACTAATATAGCGACGTTTTCCAAACGTCATAAAGTTATAGCGACGGCCGCGTCGTCGGCGTTTGGTACTAAACGTCACAAAAAGAATTAACGACGTTTTTGATACTTATAGCGGCGTTTTTTAAACGCCGCTAAAAGCCTAATTTCCAGCAGTGTAGCCACGGTAACGGATTGGATAAGAGTGACTCTATTCGCTAGGGAAAGTAGTTGAGTTTTCCATCCAGCAAACAGAGCTTGCACTCGATCAAGAACATGTCTATACATCGTCTTGGACATTTTCCCATGAATGAGAGCAACCCCAAGATATTTGCCCAAGTCTTATGTCATAAAAATACTAGTAGCCAAACTCAAGGATAAAACTCTGTCCCTTGGAACGGCATAAGGTTTGGATTTTTGAAAGTTGATACGCTGCCCAAATACATGATAGAAATTTTGCATCACAGATTGCATAATTTGGATTTGTGCCTCCGTAGCTTCCCCAAAAAGTAGCATGTCGTCTGCAAAAAACAAATGTGAGAAATAGGACCCCTTTCAGGAAAGTTTGATAGGTTTCCATAAGCCCTGAGCCACAATGTGATCAATGCTACGACCTAATTTTTCAATACAAGGGAGAAATAGATAAGGGGAGAGGGGGTCTCCCTGCCAAAGGCCGCGAGATGGTTGAAATTCTGGAGTAACTTTCTCATTCCAAAGCAACGACAACTGGGAAGTGGTCACATAACTCATAATCAAGGAAATCTAATTATTTGGGAGTTTAATTTTTTCCAATACACTTCTAAGAAAACTCCATTCAATCCAGTCATAAGCTTTCTCCAAATCGATCTTGATGGCTACCATCCCTTTTTGATGCTTGGTTTTCTTCATAGTATAAAGAAGCTCTTGGACAATAACTATATTGTCTGTCGATTGTCGCCCCGGTATGACGCTACCGTGATAAGGAGATATCAAAGTTGGAAGAAAGTGTTACAAACGGGTGACCAAGACCTTGGAGATAATCCTCATAGTGACATTACACAACGATATTGGCCTAAAGTGACTCATAGCGTCCGGATGAGGTACTTTCGGAATTAAGGTAATTAAGGTTCTATTCAAATCAGCTGGAACTTGGTCCTCCCGAAAAGCTTGTTACACGACGGAACATATAGGAGAGCCAACCTTATCCCAACACTTCTAATAAAAGAAAGGTTGAATACCATCTAGACTTGGAGCCTTGCAGAGACCCATAGCAAAAACCATAGACTTGACTTCCAAACAAGAGATTGGGGCAGCAAGAATAGATTATTCCGATTTAGAGAGATGGGGCAATGGAGGGCTAACTTGAGAGTAAATACCAGAAGAAGTTTCAGACCTGAACAATTCCTTAAAAAACTGGATTGCTCGTTGTTGAAATGCTATCTGATCCACACACCACGAGCCATCAGTATTCTTTAAGGGCATGATCTCATTCTATCGCCTTCGGATAATCGTTGATGTATGGAAAAAATTGAGTCTTGCAGTCCCCAAACATAAGCCAATTCATCCGTGATTTTTGAAACCATAGAGGTTCTTCTTAAAGGAGGATCTCAATATATTCCATAATCAACTTCTCCTCGAGATTATCAAGAAAACAATTTGGCTGGAGAGACAGAGCTTTTTGAAAACCTGCAAGTTGCGCCAGAGTTTTGCGTTTCCTGTGGAAAATGTTACCAAAAGTCTCTCGATTCCAGAGTTTGATTTGCTCCACAAACCTCTGGATAGGTAAAGCCATATCTTTTTTATGGAAATCCCATGCCTGTTGGACAAAAGGAGCAAAAGATGTATGAGTTAGACAAGTCGTTTCCATCTTGAAATGACGATTGTTGACTGCTGGGATGATACCGTATAGAGAAATGAGAATAGGGAAATGACCTAAACTAGTTTTGGGAAGGTGTTGCACCCAAGCTTCATCATAACAGTGTCTTCAACTATAATTACAAAGCACTCCATCCAACCTCTCCTTGATATTAGCATTGCCTTTTCTACCGTTTGTCCAAGTAAACCGAGGTCCTGCAAAGCCTAAATTAATAAGTTGACAAGCATCAATACATTGGTTAAAGTTGGTACACCTTTAACTTACTGGAACACCACCTTGCTTTTTCGAACCAGAGGTTATATCATTAAAGTCGCCTGCCACTAGCCAAGGTAAAGGAAGGCTCTGAGCGAGCCTAGCTAGATAATCCCATAACTCTGCATGGGAGCTGGGATTAGGGCTAGCATATAAGGCTGCAAAGAACCAATCAACTTTATTCTTCCATCGAATTATAACACTGAGAGCCTGGGCATAAGGGAAGGAAATCTCAACTTTCATGAGGTCATCCCTCCAGAATAACCAAATACCACCAAAAACACCTGTTGCTTCCACTTTAGACATAGCTGAAAAATGGGTGCGGCGTAAGATAGGTCTATCTCACATACTCTGAACTTGAGTTTGCAACAACACCAAAATAACATGGTCATGGGACCAAACCAAATCACAAATGCTCCTCACCATTTCTATTTTACCAGCTTCTTTACAATTCCAAACAAGGATTTTCATGGGGTCAATAAGGAGATTGGTGCCAAAAACTTGGCTAGAGGTCCATCTCGGTTGCCTCGCATTGAGCAACCCATGATCTGTAACTGATTCATCTCCCTCATAGTCAAAGGTGGTGGAGAGACTCTCATTTCAAACTTCGACTCCAATGGCTCTTAAGCCTGGGTCCGCATCACTTAAAGGTTGACTTGATCCGCTCTGTAGTTGGGAAGGATTAGATGAGGTCTCATCATCGGGTGCTCGACCGAAAAAACCACTGGTAGGGTTATGAAGTAATCCACAAATGGGAATGTGGAGAGGTTGGTTGGTGAAGATGGGAGATAAGAGAGGGGTTTAGATGCCGCAGTTTTTCCATTAGGCTTAGGGCGGTCGACGTTCTAGCCGAAAAGGGGTTAGGGTTCAGGAAAATGGAAGTGGAAGTCGGCGTCTTTTGGGCTAGGTTTTTAGTCTGAACTGGGTGTTTAGGGTGACTTGTCTTTATGGGCCGTTTGTCCAAAGATCCAGAACTGTGGCCTTTAAAGTTAAAAACATAGGCTTCAGTGCTAAGCCCAGTAGTAGCATGCATGTCCATTACCTTAGATTAGATGAAGAGATTGACCCAATATCATTAGATGGGCTTGACTCTGGGTCATAAATCCAAAATCAGGTACCATTACGACTGTCTTTTCCAACTGTCCTTCCTTTAGAAGATGGAGGTCGTGAGAAAGTGCCCTTTGTCGCATGATTCAGTTCTTAACCAGGCAGTGTACGACCTGACCATTCATTACCACGAAAAGGTCTACCCATTCCCTTAGACCGGGTCTTGGCAATCATCCAGGCACCAAACCAGTCTAACGAGGGTATCTGCTCTGGTTCAGTATCCGCCAATTTTCCCAGATTCGTCGACTTTGAAGATGAAGGTTCGGGGTCTGAAACACGCCGGAGTGTTGGGCACTCTTTCGTCTTATGGCCATAGAAACCACATTCAAAGCAAATTGAGTGGAGACCTTCATATTCAACTGCATAATCTCTGGAATTGAGTCCCACTTTAGCTACTAAAGTAACACGTAGATCAATCTCCAAGCAAACTCGTGCAAATCGATCTCGAGTCACTTTCGCAGTGTTCCTATTTGTTTTCACAGCTCAGCCAATTAAGTTCCCTAGTCGCATAAAGATGTTCTGTTGAAAGTATTCAATGGGTATACCTGGAAAATCGGACCCATACCAAGGTGGTAGGAGTGGCAATCTCCGCCGGTCGAAATTCTGGTCGCCATTTACTCACTGCTAGATAATGGTTAAGAAAGACCCAAGGACCATCTAGTAGAACATGAGTGTAATCTTCCTCACAAGGAAAACGCACAAGGTAATAACCATCCCCTACATCAACAATCTCAAAGTGACTCTGTAATTGCCAGACCTGTTTCATTCTTTAAACGAGTAGGTTGTAACCCACCGAACGACCAAGTTGCTTAACAATGAGTGCCTTCCTTCAAGGGCCCCTGAGCTTTTGAAGTTCATCTTGGGGGACTATGACTCTACGCCAAGAAGTCACCTTCAGGGAGGCGGAATAATTAAGTTCATCAGAAATAGAGTCCGTGGCAATCTCATCTTCTTCTCTCTAATTCCATGTTCTGGAATGATCTCCAGTGAGTGTTTCTTTGAATGAAGAAGAAAACGGGGTTTCCTTATTCTACATAAAGGAATTTGGT